GGGTGCTCATCTCATAGTATCTGGTGCTCGTGTCAGGTGTTCACATCATAGTACCTGGTGCTAGTGTCGGGTGCTCACCTCATAGTATCTGGTGCTTGTATCAGGTGCTCACCTCATAGTATCTGGTGCTTGTGTCGGGTGCTCACATCATAGTATCTGGTGCTCATGTCGGGTGCTCACCTCATAGTACCTGGTGCTCATATTGGGTACTCACCACATAGTATCTGGTGCTGATATTGGGTGCTCACCACATAGTGTCAGGTGCCCACCACATAGTATCTGGTGCGCACCAGATTTCATACTTAAAGGAACAATTTGTTAGATTTTTAATTGAAAACATTCCAAAATTTACTGAATCAGCAGAATGTGGAGAAATAACAGTTTTGACATTCTGTCAAAGATGTCTAGGTACCAGAGATATCTACTTTAGTTAGCATGCTAACCAACTAGCACTGGCCCATCCTGTCTTGTAATACCACCTTGTACCTCAAGAGGCAATAGTGAGTCACTGTAGCATCGGGTCTGCCATCAGACCAACATGAGAGGATGAAGAAGCATCACTGTCCTGAGGGCATATTCTAACTTCCTGTCAATCTTGTTGAAGGTACCACCCCTGGTCGGACCGTTTAAGGACGAAAGGAACAGTAAATGCATTGACGGCTGAAGCTTTTGGCAAGCGACTATTATCACCACCGCTGGCAAGAAACCACTTTTGGTAGGAAAGAAGTGACATAAACAGAAGCAAAACAAGAGTTAACACTGGTGCTCTTGACGAGTGAAGGGATAAAGTTTGATGCTGAACTCGCAATGTTTTTATGTATACAAAACTATATCTATATACAATATATATATGATATATAATACATTCTCCTTCAATATGAAGAACCATTTCACCATGCAGAGAACCATTTAAGCATGAAATAGGTCTATATAGATCTCATGGTTCTAATTAGAACCATTTCCATTACTAAAGAACCCTTAACGAACCATTTTTTTAGGTGTATCAAGGAGTGTGATCGCATTACGAGAATATACGTTTAGTTCTCTAGTCCACTCTCTTTAACATCTGTAGTACAAGCAACAACACAAGCCAGAGCTTTATTTTTACCGAATGTAATGTGGTCTCTGCACATGTGATGCACATCTACCTGAGTAACTGGATGTTTTTTTGGGTGGCTTTTAAGCCATGCTAACCTACATTCCGTCCATGGGCAAACGACAAGCTTGTTGTCTTTTGGACAATGCTAACGAGCTCCCCCTTCAAGAGGTCTTTGAAATTTAGTTTTGAAATTTCATATTCAGTTTCTTTGCACCCACATTTAGCCCAAAGTTTCTCATGGTTGTCCCCAGAAGTTCTTGTTAGGAGATCATATATGGCCTTGTGAAACTAGGTGGACTCTTAGTGACCACTGCAGTCCCAGAACTAAGATTTCCACTTTTTCATTTGGTCACAAAATGAACAAGCCAGCAGGCTAAACTGTGGTTGCAGAACTGCAGAGTTTAGGTCCAGAACTGAGACTTGGGTGTACTTTCGACCCTCTGTGAATGTCTAGTGACCTAATGTTGATGACGGACTTCCAAATGAACAAGAGAACAGAGTGAAATGAAAGTAAGATGCAGCATCAACACGTTGCATTTAACTGTATTTATTAAATGAGTTGTGCATAAACCTAAATGCAACCGTTTATAGTCAGTACTACGGTACGCTACACTACACTGATGCATATGCTCAGGTTAGACCATACAGTCTGTATTAGACTAATAAAATGTCCAAGAATTGAGATGCACTGTAAGTAACTGACGCTTCCTTTTACTTACACTGCCATACTTTGTTTTAAAAGGTGTACAGACTGTGAGTTTCTACTGTATTAGTACACCTACCAACCTACACTTGGCCTTTTTATTAGAAACACCTACCATATATTTGTCACCCTCTACCTCGTCCATCTTTGGAAAGAGACCAACACTGGACCATAGCTGACCAGATATTATTTTTATGGTGGGCCACTCTCAACAGAGCAATGGCTATGTGGATGCTCAGAGTCAAAATGATTACCAGTTAGACTTATGTTGGCCTAATGGTGAGCTTATCTGCGTTACTGTATTTGCTAACAATTTTAATGTTGTGTCTCAAAAGGCCTATTGTGATCAGATACTTAAGGCATTTGAACTATTAGTGCCAAATAGCAAGGCTCTTAGGAGAAAATGAAAAATATTCCTAGAGAAAAATAACCAAAGGTGCAGTTTGACTTCCTCCTCAACAGCCCCATATCTGCAATAAGGACGTACACACTAATAACTTATAATAAACCCGCAAAAAATGTTAAAAATGAAGAAAAACAATGTCACTGCTGGGATTGGGCTTGTAATTTCATATAAGATTGTCTACTGTTTTGTCTACTGTTAAACTTCTGTAAGCTAAGCAACAAAGGTTGGTAGCTAGCTAGCTAGCTAGCATAGCTTGCTAGTACCAGGCTGGTATTAAGTAGCCTGGTTTAGAGGTCACTCATGAATTGAAAACTATTATATCAGCGAAATGCACAAAAAGCCATTATCACCTACCAGCATTTAAGTGTCTCTGTGTCTTTACAGGTCGTCTGGAGCAAGCTGACACTAACTGAAGCTAACAGTTCAGCTAGAAATGCTATGTGTGACATTTCTGCCTGTTTTTTACACAAACGTGATATAATTTGACCATGACGTCCAATTTTTTTGCACACATCCATATAGTTTCTGATAAAATGGCCAGTGAGTGTAAGTACAAGGTTGGTGTACATGATAAAGGAGCAGCTCAGTTTGAATATAAAACTAAGCAGTAGTGACTGTAAGGCAGTAAGGAAAAGGCAAGGCAAACCTTATTGATACAACAAAATCAATATTCAACTGTTTAAAATAAGAACATATAGGAAATATGAAACTGGGAAGCAGATACTGAACTCCGTTACTATCTAATCAGCTGGTCACCAGTGTTTAGCTCCCAGTATTCTCTGAAGTGAAATGCTCTGCGGCTATGTGACCACTTCCAAGGCCACCGAGACTCAGGATCAGTAGGTTTGTATACAGGTGGGCTGTTCTGTATGGGGTCAGCTGTGTCCGGCTCATCCAGGTGCTGGATCTTCTTTCATTAAGATGCCCGCTGTCCCACAGCTGCAGAGCTAACAGGATTAGCACTGTGCTCCTCTCACCAGAACCAGCATCCAGCATGCTAACAGGACAGTAAGCAGGGCCAGACAGGCACCCCAACCCGCACAGGACTGGACACTCCAGTGGTTTCATTGGTTTACATGTTTCAAATGTTAATAATACGATTAGTGTCTTTTTAAGAAGTTGTGTTGGGAGTAGTGGGATAAACAGCTTCACTGCTACAGTCTCCCAACAAAGCTAACATCAGAACAACACAAGCTTGCAGTTATTCGTCTTAACAGTAAACAGTACTAATGCTGGGGATAATTTGATATTTATTAAAAATGTATGCGATATTACAGAGACACGTATGGAAGCCCATTCCCACCAGGAAGGAATTTAGAATTCTTTTTCCTCTCTCTTGTTTCTGGCAGCAGAATATCAAAATATTGAATATCCAAGATATGTGTCAATATCTAAAAGTCACTGTTTTAAGAAAGTCAGTCAACATGATTTACTTTCTCAAAATACTGCCATACTATGTTCAAGTAATCACTTGCTATGTCCAAATAATGACTTAATATCTCAAAATTACATCATTACAATGTAACCATTCATTATTTAAATATAGTATTTCAAAATCTTGAGACAATATAATTATTTCAAGATATTAAGTTTTTTTTTTAAGATAATCAATATTTTTTAGAAAATAAATCTTTTTTAATCAATATTTCAAGAAAAGACAGTATTTTGAGATGCTAAGTCAATATTTTAAGAAAAGTGATTATTGTAATAAGTCAATATTTAGAGAAAATCTCACTATTTTGAGATTAACATTTTAACAATCGATTGAAACACAAAAGGAGAAAAAGTAAGAATGGATACTGTAATAAGCCCACAAACAGTGTGCCCTCCTAGACAAACTAAACAGGAACCATAACAGCTGAAGTAATTAGGACAATTTAAACATATACGATATTTTTGCAGTAGCAATATTGTTTTATCATATATTGTAATATATGGTTGTTTCCCAGTTAGTGGAAAACACTCTCACGCCCATGCTTTCACATGTCAATGTGCTCACTGACCCATCAATGCTCTGCCCACAAATCCTTTCACAGTAAATGTTGCAAGGATGGACAACCCTTACGCAACACTGGTAAAACACCATTTAACTTTATGGTAGCCTAATTCGGATGAGCTATTCTAACATAGTCCAGCTTGGAAACTCAACGTTACGTAGCGACTCTGAACAGCAACAAAAAATCATCAGGTTGAATAAAGTTTTAGCCATAGTAACATCGTAATGGCTACTATGAAAGAATGCATAGACTTCTGAAGTCATTCCGTCATGCTAAAGTCAATGATACGCCCATATAAGGAACTCTTGGCCTAAGCAGTTTTCCTCTACGGAAAAAATGAATGGTGCTTTCAAAACTGGTTGGCATGGTGCCGTACGGTAAACCCCAACCTGACATGTTTTGTTGTGTTTACATTTTTCCCCACTGAACGTCACTGGATGTTCTGGATTATGAAGTCGTTAAAAAGTCAAAATATAAATAATGCTAAAAAAGCTAACAGTGAAATGACGTTGTGTGAAAAAAATACTACATACCGATTCAAGCTACTCAAACTGCAGCCTGACACTGCCAAAGCAACTTAACTACCACCTTTGGCAAATCTTGCTGGGTTGTGTGAGGTATTTTGGTGAGGCTGCTAGTCGTAGCTCAATGCTTTCATAAAGCAACATTCATTCTTTGACTCTTAATGACCCCATCATTCAGAGAGATAAAGGTACACAAGAAAGCATGGATAGGTCAAATGATTTTGCATCTACAAACACACACACACACAATATGAATGCAAGACTGACAGTATTTTAGTAGGTTTTGGTGCTGTCTTTATTTCAAGCTCTCAGACACTCCACCTCAAAGAGAAGGAATCACAGAGACAAAAACATCACTTTGCTTTGCTTTTTTTCTGTCTTAGTGTGTGTCTGATTGAAGATGTTCTTTTTTTTTTCAGACTCGGTATTTGGTGACAAGAACACTTACTGTAATTAATTTTCAAATAAATTAATCAGAATTACACATTGTACAACAGTGCATATTCATTTTTAGCTCTTATCTGTACTCTTATTGCACAAATTAAGAACACAGGATGTAAACAGAACAAGGAAACACAGCTGTCAAGTCACAATGAAAAGAAAAAAAAAAAATCAATAAACTGCATTGCTAAGGAGAAGCGGTGATGTAACGCTGACTGCTGAGCGTTTTAGATAACTCTGTGACAACCACTGACAATGGCGGTACAGACAGTAGTGAAGGTATTGCAGTCGGTGCACAGCAGGTTTTGAAAGAGATCTGTATAAATGGAGCATGCAGCAGCCCGGGGCTTCTTTCCCTGAAGTATCATAGTGCTAAGATTCTCTTAAGCTGGCATTGTATTCAGTGAAGATGATCGAAACACCATGATGCTCCTGCACAAGAAGTCCCACAACCACGCCATCTCTCCATGGACAGCGGGACTATCCTGCCGGCTCAGAAAGAAGAATGATGATGCCGTTATTGGCTGTTAGACATCGGATAATACGCTAATTCTGGTAACAATGACAGATCTCCTTCCATCGTGAGTGATATGTCATGCAGGGTGGGCTCCGGCACTGGCACCTGATGGCAACACCCCTACCGGCATCTATCGGGGAGCAGTAATGTGAAGTTTTATCAGGAAGTCCAGTGCGAGACAGTTACGGTACTTAAAGAAATCCATTGATTGTTCAAAAGTTTAAGATGTAAACAAAGTGAGTGGTCTGATGTGAAATGCCAAATCAGAACTGTTCACAATGGTGGTGATGGCAACCGGAGGTCTAACGAGTTTAATGCTTCTTGAAGCTCCCACACAGAATGCTATTACATAAAATGGTTATGAATGTGCTGCTTGATGTCTCAAACTTTGCTTTATAATAGTTGTGAGAAAAGGTTTTGGTCTAAAACCAATCATGGTGGAGAGGTACAGGGGCGCCTAACCCTAGAACACTACCAAAGAAAACTTAGTTCTTCAGATTCAGCACTATTGTACCACTATTATACCACAACCTCAGAAGACACAAGCAGGTTTCATTGGTTATTTTGGATGCTATATTTGTGCTGTAGACCTCACAACCACTGATTTCTATCACCACCACTGTGTGTGCACGTTTCTCTACAATACACTCTGAATGATTATATATCTTGATGATTGAGTCCTGCAGAAATTTTGAAAATTCAGTGGAGACACCTTTCAGGACAGACTTGCATGAGCTGGACATGAAGCACATTTACACAAACATCTGCTTTATCTAGTGTTAAACATCAAGCCGGACACGTTAAGACTTGAGTATAGGATACCATAAGGTTGGAAACTCGTACCTAAAAGAGTGTTGATATGCAATGCCGAAGTCTGCATGGGTACTGAGAGATGGCCGGAGGAAATCAGAGGAAGTGCAATACACCTGTGGTCCTGTGGTTTGTGAATATGTGAGCGTGTCTGTGTGAGTTTCTTGTTCTCACAGCCCACATCTGCAGCAGAGCTGCACTCACCCACAGCTTCGGCGCGACAAGATGCTGCCCGCAGTTACAGGAACGGCCCATCCTCACGAGCGTTCCACTGCCTCTCCTGCAGCTCTGAAGTGGAGGCAAAAGCTGAGAGCGAACCGCATCCAGCAACTTTAAACACAAACAACTTTTCCTGCCAAAAAAACAAAGCAGGAGAGTTTGCTGGAATGAAGCCAAGTGCTCCGAAATGTGAGACCCAAAGCAATTACAAGGCACTTATGCTGTGGGCAGGATACAGGACAGCATTCCGCTAGACTTCAACAAAATCGAAAGAATTAAATCCTCCAGTACGCTATGGAAAGTCAAAACTATTTTCAAACAAATGGTAAACCAGGATAAAGACACTACAGTAGTGAACTCTAATAAATAATGTCTGTAAAACTCATAAAACATTCATTACAGAAAAAATTCTGAGCCAACTCTGTCAAAAGGATCAACTTTCATGCTCTCGCTCAATTCAAAGTCAAAAAGCTTCAGTCCCTCTTGGTGGTACATTGCATCCTCAAGATCTTCAAGCATTCTTCACTGTGTTTGTTTTCACCCCCCATGGAAATAGAAACAGTGTATGTAGGTGCGCATGTGTATTTACTCTGGGCCCTCACCCACAACCGAGTGGCACTCCTATTACCCGGCTCTCTTCAATCGCAATCAACAGGAACTATCTACACACTTCAGGAACTGTCTACAGACATGGATACTCTTCAGGCCACTTTACCACTACACCAGCAACTCAGGTCTTAAAGAGAGGCCACGTCTGGGTGTGCTCACATGTGTGCTCTCTCCAAAGCAGGAATCCGTTACGTCTAGGATGGGTAGAGATAGTAGAAGCGCTGCTCGGGAAGTCAAGTGCACTTAAAGTGGGATTTGGGGGATTACAGCGAGGGCATATTGTTTAATCTGTTGGCCGCTAGTACACATCCTAGAGTCCTCTTTTCCCATCCTCAGTAATCAGGCTGCCTACAGATGAACGGCAAGATCCAGACTAAAGCACTTCAAGGCTGATGCAAGCTGGATGTCACCAGTGAAGTGTTATGCAGAGAGACATCCATGACATGGAAGCTCAGGAGTGGGAAACAACTGGAACGGAATGAGGCAGGTTGCCGAGTCCAGGTAAACAGTTTTGACTTGCGGTACGAGACCTAAGGTGTCAGTCACGATCACATAACAAAATGAATGAACAGGGAATGGGGGTTCAGTACAGATAAAGCAACGGTTGTTGTAATTGGGTCCTGCAGTCTTTGGAGATGGCTGTCACACAAGAGAGCGACAGATGAGTCAGCCGAGCAAATGGAAGAGAAGGACTTACGAGCGCGTCTGCAAACAGATATTGGAAAGGAAAGAGGGTATCCCCGCCATACAGCTTTCACACTCTTCCTTTGCCTCTCTTACTTACAGGCTAAACACACAGCATAACAGAAGACCAGATTATGGGCCACAGAAAAGAAAGATTACCAGGCAGCTTTACATAACATACTCGTGACATCTGGAAGGCCTTCGCGAAATGGTTACGTCACCCATGAAGGCTAGACAGCCAGCAGCTTTGGATTCCGTCTTCTTCAAGAGACCAATTTAGAACAGCTATGTCTGATCTTCTGCTTAGGGCCTAGGGCATTTCTTGCATAGAAAGTAGCTAAGCTAGAGGCAGGTAGCATCACTCTTGTTTCCTTGGAAGTACTGTGTTAAGTGCAGGCGTTGACTTTCTCCATTTGATCACAGGGTATCACAGCGCATCTGAGCTTCTTAAAAGTACACTGCATATTATACAATAAACATGAACCTCCCTCTTATTTCACCGAACTAGGGGAGGTTCTAATTATGGCTTTGAGATAAAACGCAGCATGGCATCCTGCTTTACAACCTTGCCATCATGAATTGCACTTACTTTGCTGCTCTGTCGCGTTTTGTTTTCAAAATTACAGGGGACAAGATGCTACTCGGGTCCACAGAAAGTCAGCCAATGGACAGCCAATGGACATGCTACTGCTGCACAGCTCATCTCAATAACCATGCCAACCAGTCCTGAGCATATCACAGCATGGCCAGAACTCTCCACGCTATGGGTGCCTATCCTGTGCTTCCATTTTTCTTCCTCTTTGTCATCTGTTCTGAGCTGCTTCTGCTGAAGGCTGAGGAGACTCTGTGCTGTTGGGTTTGCCCAGGCTCCTAGCACTCCTGCTCATTAACGCACTGGGTGGGTGGGTTCTGCCCGCAGGCCACAAGCTTCCCCTGCTAGAAGAGAGCTGAGCAAAGGGAGTTGGAAGGGGGAGGATAGGGGCGAGTGATTGCACAAGATAGTTCCTCAGAAAGTTCTGGATCGTGGGCAACACTGAGGACTAGGAGGAGCGTTAAAGGAAACACACATACTGCTCTCACTAAAAAACTGATGTAAAGAACTCAGACAAAAGGCAGAAGAGAAAGAGGATGGAAGAAAGATTTGCACAGTGACGCGGGAGGGCAAGAAAAGCATTCTGTAGTGTTTCATCAGTCACCCAGGCAGTCTGCAGCAGTTGATCGTACTCCTCACTCTGCTACTCCTGACAAAGGAACAACGTCTGATGCAATCAAAAGCATACATCGTTCTTTTAAAGGGCAACAGAGGACGATCAATTTCTGTAAAGCTCCAACAGAATGGACTTGACCCCCCCTTCCCCTGGCTGCTTATAAACACGGACACGGGTCATGCGTTTAACAGACAGCGTCCGACCTTCACTCACAGCACGTCACCAACAGGGAGAATCAATCGGCTTAACTTGCTCAGGCATTCTGTGTGTGTTTTAGGAAAATCTAGTAGTCTAACAAAAAAGTTTGTATCGTCTGTTATAATGTTGAAAACATTACAAGCTGACTGTCAAGTCTACCTACATTTCAATCCATCAGCAAGTTTCTGGCAACACTCAAGTGTGTTTGTTTTGTTAGAATATAGAGGAAATATTAAGATCTATATGCCTTTCTTGTATATTACTCTGTATATTTCTGGCTTTCTAGACCAATCAGAACAGAATTCATAGGCCAACTGTTCTTTGGAGTTTAATTTATTTGCCAAGTCAGGTTTAAAGGCAACAAAGGAAACTTTGTCAATAGCCTGAAAATATATTACATTTATAAATAGCTTTATTTCTTATAGGCTTTGGAAAACATATTTAGCTTTCATCTGCCACAGACAGCGGGAAAATCGAACAGCTGAGGAATACACACAGCGATTGGATTTGCAGTGAAGTTTTCAACCACGTCTCAGGAACTCCTGATGTGCTGGATAACACAAGCAACCTGACGGGCAACCTTGAGTGTGCGTCTTATTTGGAGAGCTCGGGCAGATCAAACATAGTATTGCTCCCCACAATGTTCAACAAAATAAATAAGACCTCAACGGAGCAGTCTTTCAGGAGCTTACAGGGCTTATGCAGCGACCTTGCCGGGGGGAGGCAAGAAGCCTGGTGGGATGCCCTGAGCAGAGCTGTGGAGGGGAAGCGAGGGCTAACGAGAGCAGGAGAGGGGAGGGGTAGGGCATAGCTGGCATCGTTCCAAACCAGCGCTGGAGGGAAATGTCAGTGGCTCTTTGGCTTGGGGAGGCGTGAGTTGCAGGGCTGGGAGAGCTCTCGAGCTCGGGCTGAGCTGTGGTCCACGTCCTGGGCAGCTGGGTTCGATCTGAGGCCCCGGACATTATGTGCTGACATTATGGGAGCAGGAACAGCCACTTGTGAGGCTGAGCTGATGCAGGGGAGGCCGCGGGACGGCGGAGGCATATGCCTGGTCCTGGATGTACCGGCGGAACCGGGTCGGAACCCAGCCCTGCCTAATACACCTCTCCTGAGGCTAATCTGGGAACCTCTCATTAGAACAGCAGCTCTTCTAATGCAGCTAAGCGGCTGCTGCCTGTGAAGGTTGCCAGGCCCATGGTTCCCCCCCTGCTGCTGAACGCAGCTGCTAACATGGACCCCAGGGCTGTAAGAGTCACAGATTCTAAGATGGGTGTTGCTAGCATGGCCTCCGGGGCCATGCAGATCACTGATTGTGAGGTGGGTGTTCAGGAGCTGGTGGAGCTCATCAGGACCACAGTCCTGCAGAGTGCCACAAGACGGGGAAGGAGCAGCAGCACTAACAGTAGCAGCAGCAGGTGCAGTAGTGGGCACAGCAGAAGGAAGGATGGCATTACTTGTGGTGGGATCTGGTGAGACTCGAACACAGGACTGGACCTTCACTGGACAGTCACGAGACTGGGTGTCCACATGGTCACTGGGGGCCCCTGTGGGGACTCGGCTTGATGGTCTTTCCAGTTTGCGGTGGCCGATGGGCAAGTGTCGGGAAGGCTGTAATATCTGAGGCTGTGGGAGGAAAGAAACAACATCATTATAAAGCTTTTACAAGTTGGCCTAAACTCAGGCAATGCTTAATGATTAATGATTCATAGCATGGGTCCACAAGTGAAAGTTTATGTATTTCATTCCACTTCACTCTATTATAAGCAAACACAACTTCCAGGCAACCTCGAGCCCATAACTGAGAGCAAATGAATCCCTCTCTTCAGCACCCACATAATTTATCACCACTCAACGATAAAGCTAATCTGTTTCTGTGTTAAATCAGACTTGTGTGAGAGAGGAGAGCCATCCAAAAACTGACAAGGCTTTGATTTCTGGAGGCTTGTGACTATAAGCAGTGTTGGCAGTACTGGGAGAAGCTCATAAGCTTGGTGCTTATTAGCAGTGATGTGGGCTTCCACATGAGGGAGCGAGGTCGCAATCAAAGCAGCATATGCGATCTCCTCGCCCCAGCACACTTCAACTAACACATTAAGGATACTATACTGTTTTATCTCTTTGATAGGCTGGCAACCAACAGCACTGTTTGAGTTAAACAGACATGGGCCAGAAATCGACAAAAAAAACCGGTGCCGCAGGAGGTGCCATGCTTTCCAACCCATTCGTAAAGATTTAACGCCATTCATTAGGGCCAGGCCACACACGGAGACTTGGACCTGTCCATCATGCACCAGCCACCCCGCTTCAAAGGGAATTATTCCGTGTGATGCTCCCGTGTGCAATGGACAGCTCCCCAGCCAGGGTGCCGGACAACTGCCGTGCTATTGTAGAGCAGAGCCTTTGATGTGGGCTCTGCTGTACGACTGGCAATGGAGCACGGCTACCCTCCTGACTCTGAGGTCTGCTTGAGGGGCACCTACGCAACATTGGACCAGGACTGAGATCTCTTGACTACCTTCCCTGTTAGACTGAGGAGCTTGAACACCATGTGCACCCTAATTCAAATGGAACATGTGCAGAATCAGATGGTGCGTCCTCAGGTGGGTGCAACCACAAGATTGTTTTGGAGTTTTTCAAAAAATGAAACAAAAAAAAGTATTTGCTGTGCAACATGTAATCATGCTGCAACTGCAACACTAAACTGAATATAAACTCTGTAATCCACAGAGTCCAGTTCAGACCTAGTAGTCAACGTAATGGCCTGGTTTGAAGCCCCAGCGTTGCAGCAAATCAGACAAAGCAGACCTGCCCAAGCTCTAAGGCCCGTCAGATCAGTCTCATGCAGCCACCGTTAGGAGAGATTTCCTGGCTCACAGCTCCACCTACTGGTTTTTCCTATCTAAACCTCTCCCTTCTCAGTAATAAACACTATAGCATTTTTATGATGCTGGCTGCATCAATTGCTCTGATCTCACTCCCTGTCAATATTTGCCCCTGGCCTAGGGCTGAGGCTTCAAAAATACATTCTTTGTTGTTTTTTTCTAACAACCACTGATTCAACAGGAGGGAGGGAGAGAGAGAGATGGGAGAGGTTGTCCATGCTGTGCGGCCTGGCTCAGCAGCGGCTGCCCTTCCATCAGGGAGGTTTTTTCAGTTTGAGTGGTGGGCCAGTCGAGAAGGGGCACTGGCCTCTCTGTGCCGCTTCATAAATAATTTATAGAGGCTTGCCAAAGATTAGGAAGTAACAGCTGACAAAATGTGACACAATGTCCTAGAGAGAGAGAGGGAGAGAGGGAGAGAGGAGAAAGAAGAGGACGAGCAGAGAAATGCGGAAAAGCAGAAAAGAGGACAGGGAGATGAAAAGCTTTAAAAGTAGACAAAGAAAGATGGAACACAAGACAGAGAACGAGAGAAGGGCATGAAAGAGGAAAAGACAGACAAAAGCAAGGGAGAGAAAGAATGCATAGTGAAGGTAGAATAACAATGAACGTACGGTCATAGAGAGGACCATGTAAGGTGGGATTTATAAAGTCTTCTTGATATCTGACATGGCACAGCAGGCACTAGCCTACACAGCAGTGAGAGGACGAGAGACTCTCCACTTCCTTCTCCTCCCTGTCTTACCCCCAACGTTTATCCTTCACCAGCTGCTTCTACCCTTCACTCCAGTTTCCCATCTAAATCGACAAGCACCCATTTGAATAATGGCAAAAACAGCCTCTCTTGCAATTTCCACAAGCACTGGGCACTTTAAATAATAATTAGAGACTAGGGATCTCCCATATCCCTGTCCCGAGCCAATCAAGGCATAATTAATGGATCGGTCTTGGTTTCTGATTCCAAACATTTACTAGGACCATCACCTGGCTCTCACACCAGGTGATGGAAATGGACACTACCCATAATTTGCGGTAGCGAGGCAGGTTAACATGGTTTAAATGTCCACGGTATAAGAGTGGGTGATTCTTTTTAATAAAACCTGCAGTTTTTCAGAGATCTTCAAATACTGATATCCCCACCATGCTTAGATAAGCAAACTCTTACTTAATTTGTCATGATAACATTAACATATTGTTATATTGCCCACACCACATCATGGTGCTAATTTAAAGTGGAACATGAAAACAGCCCATGGAGGTTAAGATAGCCGCCATTCATCAAAACGCCCTTGAACTAGCTGCACGTAAAATCTGAGTGTGCAGCTAGTGCTCACAGTGCATGTTACAGCAACCTGAAATGTGAAAGTAGCGTATTCAACACAATATATGTAGCAATTTTAGTGACTGGTTGCCCAACCTACCAGACTGGTTAATCAAACAGGATTACACAGTACTGAGCAAAAAAAGAGAGATGACTCTTCATTTGTTTAATTCCAGTTAAAACGGCCATTTAGTGCAAGTTTTTGATATTGCTGAGAATATTGGATCTAAGATAATCCACGCACATAAGGAAGAAGTAAGTCAAAGGAAAATAAACACACAAAAATAGGAGTTTCTAAAACTGGAGTTCAAAATGGATGTGTAGCTGTAAAGAAGCCTCACCGAGAAAAGGAAAAAGACAGAAAAAGCAGAATATTTGAAAATGGAACAAAGCAGAAATGCAACCAACTTCTAGGACCGAACTTTGGAGGTGGGGAAAATATCCCTGTATATGACAACTGAAAGGGAGTCTCCTGGAAAGAAAAGAAGCTGTAATAAAGACAGAGCGAACACACAAAAACAATAAAATATACAGTTGCTGAAGCTTCTGTGTAAACTTTCTGCTTTTTCCTGATACCAAAAAATGAATAACTTGTACTTCATTTCCATTTTGATTAGAACGAAGAGTGGACTTTTGCACAGTACTGTAAATAGTCCCCAAAAATAAACCAGGACAGAGTACCACACTATGCACATACTAAAAAATGTCATTTCACTGTATCATTTTAAAGTAGCCTATCATGTCTAAACTGAACTGGTTTTAGTAAATTTAATATACTCAAACTGTGCACTGAACAGATGGATTATCCATGGAAATACAAACATCAGATCAGACTTAGTATTGACAGACATTCAAAATGAAACCACTCAGATTGGGAACGCAGACAAAAAACCTTGATCAGGTCATCCCTAATTAGAGCAACAACCAAACAGCGATCAAGCCCTTCTCTTCAGCCAGCCACGGACAGGGCTGGAATACTGAGAAAAATGATCCAAGGTGAAGGTACAAGATTTTAACATGGGCACTGTGGTCTGTCTCCGGTAGAAGTTCATGCATCAGAGAGGAGTTCTCACATCACCGTCATCATTAATAAGCACAGAAATGATGTGGAGGCATTGGGGTGAGAGCAGCGTGCGTCTCGGGTTATATCATTAGTTCTCTATGTGCCACGCTTGGACACATTGTCACTTCATAACACTCCTGAAAGACAAAGGAATGTGTTCAGCTTGATACATTTCCCCATATAAAGCCTCAGATGGTCATCATCTGAATAATGCTAGATGAAATGAGGCATGTACGATGGAAAAAAATAACGTTTTCCCAGAGCGCCCTCTTTCTCTGCAGGCTCTGTCTGAAAGAGGCGGCCAGATCTCGGTGAACACAGGGACTTCTTCTGCTTTTAAAGGAACTTTTCTTTATTACGTTATAGACATACCCCACCCTGGGGAGACTGCAGTTTAAAATAAATGGTCTAATGATACAACTGGAGAAAGTGTTTTTTTCTCTCCCAACTGTACAAGAATCATTTACAGCTCCTAAAAAAAGAACAAGTGATGTTGGACAAACAGTCATCTTACCACCTACTGTAATTAAATTCAATGAACAGAGAAAGAATGAAGGTGGTGGGAGGATAAGGAGATAAGTGAGAGGAACCTCAGAGAGAGAGCTAAACAGAGGTGAAAGAGAATATGAGAAGGGAAGAGAGATGCCAGGTAGGTAAGGACACTGAACAGCCTGACAGCCATGAATGGGCTTTTCAGTGTCCGGAGTGTGATGGACTGGGGGTATGGGCAGGGGAATGGGCAGGGGAACGGGCAGGGTGGTTTGGGGCAGGTACACTGGTGAGGACAGAGCGAGCAGTGAGAATGTAGGGATTGGATAAGATGGATTGGGCTGAAGGAATGGGGTGGATTGGGGTGGAATCATGGGGTAGATGTACTGAGGATTGATTAGGGCTGGGGAAATGAAGATGAACTGGGGCGTGGAACAGTGCTGAGGAAATGATGAGGTGGACAGTGCTGAGGGATTAAGTTGGGAAAATGATGGGGTGGACTGCGATGGGAAAATGAGAGGGCGGATTGGGGGTTGGGAAATGGGCAGAATGTGGTAGACAAATGAGGGGGCAGATTGGGGTGGAGATCTAGAAAGATGGATTGGAAAGAGTGGATTAGGAGCTAGTAGAATGGGGTAGGGAAACAGGGATAGGTGAGCTGGGGTAGAGGAATAAGGACGGGTGAACTGGGGTAGGGGAATAAGGACGGGTGGACTGTTGTAGGGGAATAAGGACGGGTGAACCGGGGTAAGGGAATAAGGACGGGTGAACCGGGGTAAGGGAATAAGGACGGGTGAACCGGGGTAAGGGAATAAGGACGGGTGAACCGGAGTAAGGGAATAAGGACGGGTGAACCGGAGTAAGGGAATAA